TTTTAATATGCTATCTTTTAATATGCTATCTTTTTATATATGTTCTTTTTAATATATTATCTTTTACGTTCCATCTTTATACTATCTTTTTATATTATCTTTTACATTATTTTGTGTTCTTTAATCTTTCTGACATTATTTTATATGTTCTTTTAATTCGCTTTATGTGTTTTGCTTATAATCTATCTTTTGTGGCTTATAATTATTCTTTCTTATCGTTCTTATTGTTAAAGATTGCTAAGCCGCAATTGATCGACTCTAATTATCCTATTGGTTCTTTGTCAATTATTTGATGAATATTACGTCATGTAGATCATTACTCTTCCTAAATGTTTATCAACATTATAGATATCACTTAGTTTATATATCACTAAGAATTTGAGTTCATAAAAATTATGGGATTCCCATTACTCTTCCTAAATGTTTATCCTTTTCGGCTAATTATTTATCCATCTACGCCAATTCACAATCAATTTGTTCGTTCTCAATATTTGGAAATTACATTTGGTGGTTGAATTTTATCATCTTTTCATGTTTGATATTCGGCCGTTTACATCGTTGAACACATTCACATAATATTATAATAATGAGCAAAATAAAACAATAACATGGTTTGTTGGAATTTGGCTAGCGACCAAAGAATTTTCTGGCCATTTGACCATGACCAATAGCCAATTCTGACCAAATTTTGGTGACGGTAAACAATAATGATTCAGGTGATTTTAGCATATTGACATTCAGAATACCTATCTTCATTATTTTAAAAACTACATGATCATGTAGTACTTAATCCTCTTATAGGTAAAGTTAAGATATGCAAGCGATTCATATCAACATTAGAATCTTAGAGGGAAAGGGGAGTAAAGATGGAAATTATTAAATCGAAAAAAAAAATGATTTATTTTATTTTATTTAGAAAAATGGTTCAGAAATACAAGTATATATTAACGTGTAGGAGAATATCAATCTGAAGGAGAATCATCATAATTCGGCCAGAGTTATAAGTGATATATGTCATGTGATTAGTAGTTTTTATTTATAATTCTGGCCAAATTTTATAATTTCGGCCTAAATTATATATATATTTTCTTTCTGATAATGTATATAATTTAACCAGTATTATAGCATACAAGTCAGCATTATAATTTTCTATATTATTTTCTTTCTATATTGTAAAGCAATAAATAAAATTTTAATAAAATAAATAGTGCTTATTTTCGAAATAGTGTTACAGTTGCTTTTGTGCAATGAATGATAATCCCGTGCTTCTCATACGCAAAACAACATGAACCTGTTAAAAACATGGTTGTAAAAACAGCAAAATGTAGATGATAAGTTAGACGAGCTGTAAAACATAGTCAAGCTAAACTAACTGCCAAGCGTAGACAAGTTATAAAATAAGCAACCAGACATGAACAAGCTAAGCTGGCTGCCAAATGTAGATAATACAAACGTTAATAGGCTTTCACAAGTAAATGCAGTTCATATTCTATCGAACAGAAAAAAAAGATTATGCTTATGCTAGGTTAAATGGAAGAAATGAGACGGCAAGGCATTTTCAACTAAACAGTAGTATGGTTGGCCGTTGGATTAAAGTAAGTGAAACTTGGATAAAGGAAACAAACACAGGTTGAAATGCTAAAAATTGGCAAAAAAATGGCGCGAAAAGCAGTGGCTATTCTTGGCTATTCTTGGCTATTCATGGCTGTTTTTGGCTATTTGCAAATTAACTTATACTATTTGTAAATAGTTTATATAAATTTGCGAATAGTTTATGCAATTCTAGCCATTTTTTTTGCCTGTTTTTAGTCATTTGACGTGTGAAAATAAGGGTTGGTTCTGGTCGAAAAGCCTTTTACCCTGAAAGTGAAAGCAGTGACTTATGCAACTATAAAAATTACCATATTTGACATATTGAAAGAACCAGAAATGGCTGCATTTTATGGTAATCCTACAGAAAATTTTAAAGCATCATTTCATTGGTTAACTTTATTTATAAAAAGGTACAAATTGTCTTTATGTCAACGTATCAAAGCAGATCAAAGGATTATTGGAATAATTTCAACTGCTTTAGAAAAAAGAAGTCCTTTGAATTTAGTAATATATTTAATATGAATGAAACGCCAGTGTGGTTTGATATGGCAGTGAATTTTACGATTAATGCAATAGGTGATAAAATGGTTCATATTCATAAAACTGGGTAACGAAAATAATCGCTTTACCATTATCTTAACTTGCATTGCTAACAAGTTTCGTTTTTTTATCTAATCTTTTGATTTCATGAAATTTTGAGAAATTTCCTCAAAACTTCAGTAAAATTAGAAAATTATAATAGCTAACAGTTAGTTCTTCATTATAGATAGAAAAAAGTTACCTCTGATCTGTATTTTAAAGGAAAGAGGCTAAATTTGGATGAACAGATTTATAGTTTGGTTTTAACAAAACGGTTGGATGGATGCAAATATGAAAAAAAGATTATGTTGATTATCTTGATGAAGAAGTTTAAACTGAGCTTTTGAAGATGATAGTTTATGATTCTTTTAAGGAACATTTAAAAAAGTCTGTAAAAAGTAAGTTTCGTGAAAGTGATTTTGATCTAGTGGTGATTCTAGGAAGGTTGACAAATATTTATCAACCTCTTAATGTAGCAATAAAGCCGTTCAAAAACAATCTTCGTAAAGAGTGGCATTTATGGATGGCAAATAGTGGTGCTGGAGAAACTGCGGCTGGAAACTTGTGACGTGCTAACTGCTAAGTTAACTGAAGTTTGCGGGTGGGTAAAGTATGCGTAAAACAGTATTTTAGACGAAATAATTATTCAATCCAAATTCTTTAAATAAGCTAGAGAATAATAATATTGATAAATTGTTGATGAAGAAAGCAAGGAATTTGTGATTTAGATGGATGAAAATTTGGTTGATACAGAAGCTAGGTACTTTTAAATTAAATGAACTACATCCATATTGTATTAATTATTATACTTTAAAGATTTGAAACGACCATAACCCTTTTTTCTAAATTTTTCCATATGTAATAGCGAATTTGTAGATTTTAATGAAATGATTGGAAATGAATAATCTTATGTAAAATTTTCACAACTAAGCCATTATTAATAAATAATTTTTTGAAAATATTACATAAATTTTATTTAATTAGCTAAAAAACAGATTAATAAGCAAACTTTATATATAACTTAAATATAAATTATAAAAATTCTATTTATATAACATTTATTTTTAAAAAAAATTACTATTTATATTAAATGAAAACTTTTAATAAAAGAAAAATATATTAACAGTTAGCCTGGTAATTAATTATTTTATATTAATTAATTATTAAATTCCAAGTAGATTATATATACTAATTATATAAATTAAAAAACTAATATAGTATTATTATATATGTTATAATAGTTTTACTTTCTGATTTTTAATAGTAATTTTTTATACTTCTTTTAAACCTATTAATATAAAGAAATATATAATTTTAAAAGCCAGAAAAAATATATGTAATTTTATAAGTAAAAAACTTTCTAAATTTATAATAAATAATTTTTGCAAAATATAGAAAAATTACATTATTTTTTAACATTATTAAATGCATAAAAATTTTTCAAAATGTAATTTTATTTTAATCAAAAAAATTCTTTTTATTATTATTTAATTAAATTTAATAGAATCAAAACTTAAAACTATCTGAATTTTAATTTATATAATATTTAATTAATATTAATAAAAATATTTGTATTTTTTATTTTTAATATAATATTTATTTTTTTATTTATAAATTTAAAAAATATCTTTAGTTAAATAAAATTACTTGTGATTTAAGTAAAATTGGTTAGAAAAGTTAAAGCTATTTATATAAGACTTTAGAAATCTAATATATGCACTTTTAGCCAAAATTATTCCTTTTATTAAAATTCAAAAAGTTTTTTGCAATTTTTTCCCAATTTTAATGACCTTTTTTTAAATTGTAAAGTTTGATGAGAGTTATAAAATAAAAAAAAGTTTATTAAAATTGGATAACTAAATACTAAGAAAATTGTATACTCTAATTTTTAACTTTTTTACTAAAAATGTAATTTATAACTTGTTTAAATATTTCTGAAATCCTATTTATATATCTTAATTTTCAATTTTTGAATTTATTTATTAGTAATTTTAAAGTATAATTTTAATATTTTAGTAAAAGTAAATCATCTTTTATATTTAATTATTAAAGTTATTTAATAAAATCAAAAATACTTTTACTAAAAATTGGTATTTATATTATTTACATCTATTTAGTAATTTTAAAATATAATTTTAATACTTTAATTAAAACAAATTACTTGAATTACTTAGAAGAATTAAAACTTAAATCAAATTTATTAACATATTTATCAATAATATATTTTTTTTTATAATACATAATATTAATTTTCATTATTAATTATTTTAATAATAAAAATACATTCAGTTAATTTCAAGTAGAAATCTAAGTTGAGTGATAAAGATTAAAAGAAATTTTTTAATAATTTTATAAATTTTATTTTTGTGTATGATTGGCCTGTTATTTCACATGATTATATTTTACCAGAATTTTATTGGGTAGAACGAAGGTCACGCGACAATTTGTGTGATATTAAATTTTTTGATTTTTTACATATGTTCTCTCAAATACATTATGATGAGTATAATCGTAAAGCGAGATCTAAATAGGCTGTAAAGGAAGTGTTTTGTTGTTTCTTGTCACTATTAGCTGCCAAGGACATATGTTATGAAGGGCTGAGAACTTTGCATTTCCGAGATCTACACAATTCATCCAACTTTACGTTTTCGAACCGAAAATGCAAACGAACCGAAAATGCGAACCAATGTCTAATAAAGTACAATCGGTATGTTTTTTATAAAAGAAAAAATTTAACCGTATTTATAATTAATCTCTCATTTCTCGTTTGAATTTATAGGAAAAAGTTAAACCTAATGAAACATCATATTCTTCTACATAGGATTCAAGATCTATAGGAGGACCGAGAACAAAAGGAATCAAATTTCCGTACTCATGTGCTCTCATAGGATTCTTGTGCTAATCACCCCTTATCTCCTTTTCCCAGCAAGATATAAAGTTGTTGAGGTTCAGCTAACATTTCAGTAATTATTAAGGTTTTAAAACTTAAATAATAATGCCGAATTATGATGAAATAGAACAAGCAGTAGATATGACTGATTCCCTTAGAACAATAGATGACGTTGAAGACGTATCAATGGAAGTTCAGGTCTTAAAACTATTGAAAGATTTGAAAAAAGAAATCAGTTATGGGTAAAAAGTTATTGACGAACTCAAAGAGATACAAATTCACTTTAGGAACCCTCTTACTTTACGATGTTACAAAATTGTTGAACGAGTACAAAGCGCACTTTGTTCCAAGTCCGTGTAACAAATGACTGGATAGGGTTGCATTATAGAATGGTTAGAAAGTGATTGTCGCGATCCTTTTACACGAAAAAGAATATAAAATTAATCAACTTATTCTAAACAGAAATCTTAGATGATCTTAAATTTTCAACTTTAATACTTTGGATTTTCATAGCATAAATAAGCAAATCTCTCTTTGATAAACTTCTTAAAATTCTTCAGTTAGCAGAAGAAATTATCGATAGCTGCAAAGAAATCCTATTTCCATTTAGAACGTACAAACTGAATGTGCTATTATTATTATTATTTTTAAATATCTGAATTATATCAGTCCGCGATTAAATGGCATTAGAGATCAAGGTTTTCATGTAATAGCGATGCGCTTCGCATATTCACTTTTTGTGTTAGTTGCCGTTTTCGGCAACGATTTATTTTATTAATAAAGTATTGTTATACTGGGAATGGTTATTGCTTTTAAGTAACGAATGCTAGATAAGTATCACGTGCAATGATGTAATGTCTGTATCACGTAAAAACATATATTAACGTTCACAGAAAAAATTTTTTTCCTCACTTCAGAATGTAACACTATTTTTTATCCGGGCTAAACATAATATTATGTCAGATCTTGTAGACACACCGTCTCCACTTCCACTACTGCTACTGGAAATGAGCCGGCCACACTAGCGGACAAGATTAAAAGAAAATAAAATGGAGGAACCTATCGATTTCTTGCGTAAGGAGGAAGATCCAGAGGATTTTGACATAATCGAGATAGCCGTGACTTCCTCAAGATAACCGAGAAAAATATTGACTTGGCTTTAGGATCTTACTTTATATAACAGAGTCATATCATCGGATCTCGACAACGCATCATTGAGTTTGAAGAGACTGAGAATGTGAAATTAGAACGGATTATAGAAGAAAGCGATAAGGCGTGAAGCTGAAAATAATGAATTCAAGTATAGAATTGGGAAACTAGACGATATAAAACAGACTTGAGAGTAGAGTCGCGATGTTGGAACAGGCAGTGGATGGACAGCCACAGAAAGATCACTAGATGGTTTAGTTTGCTCGAATCTGCCTTATAATGTAAAAAAGAGATTGGTATCTCTGTATTGCAAACGGTAAATTGATAATCAAGACAGTAAATGTTATGTGATGTGCAATTATATAAAATCCTATTTAATGAGGTATTAGGGCATTAGAAGTGTATTCTGAGAACATCAGCCTATCCCTTGTGGTTATGCTCTTAAGTTTTAGATAAAGTATGGCAGTAGAGGCGAAATAAGATGTTGAGTACAATAAAGTATGCTCACATTTTGGTTAATTATGTGCAGAAAATTTTCATATTTATTGCATTTGTTTGCAGTAAAGAGGATCAGAACCACGTAATACATGATGAATAGTATAATAATGGGGTCGTAATTCCAGGGTTAAATTTCCCTCAAAGAATATATAAGTGTACAACAAATTTACCTTCATAAATGAATTTCACACATTATATTTCTAGCAGACGCTGATATCACATTTCCGAATCATGTGAGTAAAATCTAATGATGCATAATAAAAGTATACAAAAATCAAATTAATCTATGCGAAAAACTGGCATCATAGAAGATATATAATAATAGGTATTCAAAAAAGAATGTTTCTGTAATCTTCTTAAATTGTAATCAATTTCACTTATAAAGAAAATTTTATCAATATCCTACCCAACTTCTCATAATTTTTACTGGATTTTGTGGTCTTTTGTGATATTAAGATACTCTAAATTGATTATTTGAGATTATTACTAAACTAAAGCCTTTCTTTTGTCATTTTTAGTTCTTTTCCATACTGGCGTTTTTCTCTTGGTCCTATTTCGTTATACATTGGATACAATACTAGTAAAGGAATTATTTATATCTGTAAGTTATTAAAAATCATTGACTTGTTTTTTGTAACGTAAAGTCATAAAACGCAATTTTTCCTATTAAAATTTTTCATACTTTATCCCTACAGCCATGGCAAACATGTCTATTGTAAGAAATAGATCTTGAAAATTTTAGACTTTAAGAAGTTTACACCTTCAAAAGAGTTCGAGTACATAAACGACCAACTTAAGAATCGCGCTATAGAAAAGTTCAACAATGGAAGATAAATTCCAAGAAACTCAATTCAAAAATAAAAATAATCAAGATTATAGTGATGAAGAAAGTGACGAAGATAACCCAAAATCAGAATTACAATTAACAATCGAGGTGCTTGCGTACCGCATTACCGCATAGTATATTACGAAATTTAGGACAGATTCTTCCTAATCGCTATAGAAGCAGTTGTCGCAGAAATTGTGGCAACTTTGTAACTGGAACGTCACTGGCTTTAATTTTGATTTTGGAGGACAGAGAACAATTAGAGCACCAGACGTTGTTTTCAAACAATTTGCGATTTGGATGTGCTACAGAATTGGACCTTTCAAGGGCAATTATTCACCCATTAAGGTTACAAATGTTATGTTCAAAAGTGAATCAGAATTTAAAGCGATTGATGACAAATTTAAAAAAGAATTAAAGAATTCTTAGCACCAAGAACTTCTTATTTAATAGATGAGGAAATCGTCCATTTACAAATTACATCAAAATTGTTTATTCACGTACAAAATTGATTATTATATTTATCTTACAAATCATTTGTAGAAAAATGGCATTCATATATATTATAACCCGAAAATACTGGTCTGTAGAACCAGGATTTTTGATTGACATCGACCGAAATATGCGAGTACTTTATTCATGGAGGTGGTACCGAAAAAATACTGTGCTCTATTATGAACATGATTGGGAAAATATAAACACCAGAGTTAGTGATCGAGATTCTTACAGGCTTCGATAAAAATACAATTTTTTTTATACATTTTAGAAATATCCATAATATAGATAGAATATTCTTACGATTATTACAAATTCATCTTAGATGTAGATATGTAGAAGTAGCTATTTCGCAAGTATTTAATATTGATGATTTTATTTAGATCTTATCATTTATTTATTTCTTAAAAGATTCAGGTTCGTCATCATCAGCTGATGGGATCCTAAATGTACAAAAATTTTACCAACAATCACAGATTTTTGAGGCATTTCTAAAAAGAACATGCGTTTAAGCGACGTACACCTAATCAATGAGTTATAATGTGACTAGCTTTTAATCAATAAATAAAATGAAAAATCATACGAATCGATTTTTTTTTTCCTTATCACGCTTTATATTTTCCGAAACCTTTCGTGTATTTTTGAAAACGTGTAAAAAATCAACAAATCATTGATTTACGCCAACATTGGGGCTCATGGTTTTTTTAATATGGTGTGTGATGTGCATCAGGAATAATAAAAGAACATAATTATGCATATTATGCATGCTTAACTTGAGAGAATTTTCCGGGATGGTTCTGAAGATGATAAGATGATAAGGGAATGTACATGCAAGTTCGTAATACAAACCATATGATGTGTGCTAAAATTTTATATATTTAGCAAAGATAGGATAATCTATATTTTCTATGTTTAGCGTTAAGTTAAGGCTGAAGGAAAGGAAATAATTTAGAAAATTTTGTGTATGATCGTACCAGAAGTAAGTACATCGGGACAATAAGTCTAGTCCTCAAACAGTATGAAACTTAAAAATATCTTTATCTCTTATCACCGCCGCCATCATGTCATAAAATTTGTTTCAGTAAAGTCTTTGAATATAATATATTCAATTCTCTTCTTTGATGTTGTATACTTTGTATAGTATAAAAACTTATTGATAATACTGAATTACTGAATTGTTCAAAAAAAAAAAAAATTTAAGGCAAATTAACATCAGAACATTAATAACATTACAACATTATGATAGTATCCGTTTGGATTAAGAAAAGTTATTTGCTAGTAGTATTATTTAAATTGAAACAAAATAGGGTAATCGGTTTAGCAGAAATGTTAAGAGTTGGGATATGTTAATATGGAGAAGTTCTGTAACCGATAGCATGGTAATTGGATGTACTAGAAGAGCAATTTCATGATGGTTAAGTATTGTATTACCAAAAAAAAAAAATAATAATAATAATTTAATTTATCGTTTAAAATTTTATTATTATTCGAATTCATACGCATGTAAATTTCATACGCATTCATACACGCATGTTACAGTAATACTTTTAATACTCGCATAATTCTAAAAATAATATAGAATAAAGTTGTATAAATTAAAAAAATATGCGCCCAAATTTTGATTTTATTGTAAATATTTAATTACAGTATATTAAAAAATATATATATTTTTACGATGCATGTAAGAGTTAAAGCTCGATCTGGTGAACAATATTATAAAGAAATCAACTTAATGAATTAGTGAATGTAAAATAAAAAAAAAATTAGTATATTAAAAAAAAAATATCGAGGTAGAAAGTATTATTTCTCAATCTCTAATCTTTAATAATACTGTGTGGAGAGTTAGTTCCTCAGGACTCGAGAGTCGAGACTAATTATATTTGATTTAATCCTCCTATTCTTAAAATATTTTACCTTTTAAAATGACTTGTAATAATAATAATTTTATCAAGTACCAACTTTTCCTACAAAAACATTAAGGATTTCAACTAAGCATAATATTTAAATATCTCATTTCTCAAATATCTAAAAATTATAGTTAGGAGCATATAATAAAATTAAAAATTATCAGATATTTCTCGATGGTCTAATCAGTTTTTAAAATATTAACGTAAATATAAGAGAATCTGAAGAAGAAGAGTTTTTGAAGAATCAAAGGAAACTTTCAGATTGATTTACAGATTCTTTGGACGGTAGAATAATGAAGTTTTCAGTGGTGGTGTTCAATTGAAATGTGATCAAAATTATTATTATTTTTATTATTTTTATCGGTTTCTTGATGCATGCTTTAAAAGAATCGTCTCAGTGAAGTTGGTAAATAAGTATATAATATACCAGTTGATTTGAAGTTATAGCAAATGTCTGTATATATACTGATCATTTATCTGAATAAATAATTATTAATAAATACAGTACGACTTGATATGCCAAAATTATGGAATCATTAGATCGGTTCGAAAATATTTAGAGAAACATTAGACAAAAGATGAAATTACAATAAAATTTACAATAATTACAATAAACAAAAATCGGTATAAAAGTCCATATAAAAAACTATCAGTTTCGACAAAAAACATTGGGGACCCAATAAATGCACATGACGATATAATTAATCACGTGTAAAAACGTTTAAAACTAATTTTCCTTATTATCTTTCATTTAAAAAAAAAAAAAAGTTTAATTCTTGCATAATCATAAACAAGCGTAACAAAATCGTAAATTATATAAGCTCATTTTCGATATATATAATAATTTCAAATGAATTAATAATTGATTTCGTAATCAACATTGAGAAAGAAATACGCGGATTAGGCGGATTGGATGAAATTATAATTAAAAATTCAAAATATTCATTTAAAGAAATATCTTCAAGTTTACTATAAATGAAAAAAAAAAAAACTTAGAATCATTAAAGAACGATGATTCTAAAAAATATGATCCATTTTTGATCCATTTAAACTTATCTTTTTTGTTGAATTACAAAGTGTTCCCCCCTTTTATTTCCTTACAAAGGGATCACATAAAAAAGTTTCTCATTATCTACAATAACACTTTATCTATCAAAAAATATCAATCTAATTTCTACATCTATCACATGTCCCGAAACTGTCTCATATAACTGCGATACTTACAAAAAGGAAAGAATTTTAAATTCTTTCGATAAATCAGCTTAGTGGAAGAATGCAATAAAGGTAAAGTTTGAAAGTATACACGGCGTCACAGCCTCTTCGGAAATAAGTAAATTGCATATAATTGTCATATTATGCATATTTTGGCGTTATATTATTTTTTTTTTTTTCCCACACATTTAACTCGTGAATTAAGAAAAAGATAAGTTCAATATAGAAAGGATTTTCGATTTGCTGATATTTATTTGAGGCTAAGTAATCCCTAACCGGATTTTGACGACCAAATTTTGACGTAATTTTCTCGTACAACATTATGAAATTTGTTAGAAAAAAAAGAAATTTAAAATAAAAAAAATTGAGGTAATAAATTTGTTCTAAACAAATAAATAAAATAAATAAACTGAAATAATTATTTTTATTTGGTTTTTTTTTTTACCGGATCAATAAAATAAAATTAGTAATTGTTTCTAATGAAATAAGATTTATTACACAACATGAAAATATGTGCACGAGACCTCACTCCTCTTATGATTGACTTATTGATGTTTTATAGTTTTCTGTATGTGTAAAATTGTGTATCTTATCCCATTCCATAATAATATTAAAACGGAGATATGACTGATAAATTTTTTTTTACAAATGATTCAAATGATTGCAATGATTACAGATCCCTACCACTTTAAGTTTCGAATATGCGAATGATACATTTGAACGAAATATCGAACGAGTTAAGTGTCCTGCACCTCAATTTAATATAAATATCTCCATTTGTCCATTTCCCATTAAAAAAAAAAATTTTTTTTTTAATAATAAAAAAAGGGATTTCTTTTTTTTTCAAAGAGATTATTACGATATGTCATCAATAGTGGAAGTAGCAGATCCATCTTCTAATGATACTTCATCACATCAATACGAAACAGTACCTAATGAAGAAGAGGCAGAAAGAGCAGAAAGGACAGAAACAGTTCACCGTGTAGAAAAACGTTTTAATCGTTCACATATTATTCGAGATATAACTATTGGATTAGCGGATGGTTTAACGGTACCTTTTGCGTTAGCTGCGGGATTGTCATCCCTAGGAAATCGTCATCTCGTAATTTTAGGATGTTTAGCTCGTAAGTTCGAGACGATACTTGAAGCATGTTGATAAAGGGATTGCTAGACACTTGATTTCTGATAAACTATCTTTTGTTTTTTTTAGAATTGGTGGCAAGTACGATATCAAAAGCAGTAGGTGGATGGGCAACATTAAAAGCTGCCGAACAACATTTTTGGATAGAAAGAAGTAATGAAATACTTGATGTCAAAAATAATATAGAAGCCGAAATTCAAGAAATGATTGGTAAATGGTTTTTTTTTTTATAAAGAATATGTATGATAAACTGTTTTAAAAATTAAACATTATTTTTTTTTTCGTAATTATAGATGTTATGCAACCATATGAATTAGATGCTCAATCTTTAGCGCCGATTATCGAAAAACTCAGCAATAATCCAGAGAATTTTGTAGATTTTAGAATGAAATTCGAATCAGAAATCGAAAAACCTGATCATGCACGTTTTTTGGTGAGTTATTATTTTTGTAATCATATATATTTTTTTATATTTTTATATTTTTTATTAAGTTTATTAAAATATTTTCACAGAGTTCGGCAATCATTGGAACATCATATTTCGTTTCCGGATTAATTCCATTAATTCCATATTTCTTTATTAGAGATAGCATACTTGGTTTATATATAAGTAGTGGAGTTACATTTGCTTGTTTTATTTTATTTGGATACATTAAAGCACTTTATGTTTATCCTAGTAAAGCTATTTGGAGTGCTATGCAATCTATTTTTGTTGGATTTTTCGCTGCTATTACAGCTTATGGTTTTGTACTTTTAGTTAAACATCATGATGATTTATTTGAATTTATTTGAAATGTGATGATTATTATTATTATTATTATTTTATCTTTGTTTAGATATATACAGTATATATACAATATGAATAAAAAAATTTCAAAAATTTCTTTTTCAACTTTATCATGTGATTTTTGGCGGGATTCAATTTTTCAACGTAACAATTTTATTGAAGTATAATTTTTGGTCTACCCACACGTAAATTTGTATGATTTAATTTGTAACAATTTTTATTGAATTAAGATTTGGGCTCAGATTAAACCATTTCTTCATAAATATTTTTTCTCGTAATTCTTTTCTTAAAATGTCAATTTACTACTTACCGAAATTATACGACATGTGTAAAGATATTTGACGAAATTCAATTTGCCAACGTAACAATTTTATTAAATCAAAGATTTGGGCAAATTTAAAGCAAAACGAGAATTAAATTAGAAGAATATATAGTTTTGGGTCATTTTGATTCCTGGATTATAAACATTTTCATCCCAAATATTTCTTGCTTGTAATTCTTTTTCAATGTTACTATTTACTGAAATTAATACATGTGTAGCGATATTTGACGAAATTTAATTTGTCAACGTAACAATTTTAAGAATTAAGTTTTGGGCAAATTTTTTGAAGTAAAAGAAATATAATTTTGGGTCATTTTAAATCTTGGTCATAAATAATTTTGCTTATAATTCTTTCAATGTTACAACCTATCATACGTAAATTTGCAAATGTAACAATTTTAAAAAAGTGTTGCGGTATTACTTTTCCACGTGTAACACATTGTAAAAATGTTACACGGGTTTAAAATTATTCAAAGCGCAGTAATGTAACGTTACGCGTCTAACGTAAATTAAAAAAAAAAAAAAAGTGTTCATTTGATGAAACAATTTTATTAAAATAAATAAATAAATAATAATAGAAGTCCAATAAAAATACAAACAAAAAGAAACCAAAACCCACAAAAACCACAAGTAAAAATCATCCCCGTAAATAACCCGAAATAAAAGAATAAATAAAAATTTATAATATTGTGAATAAGAAGAATAAGATGATGAGGATAATTGTATCCATCATCATCATTTTACTCTTAGAAGTAAAGAAAAGACTTCTAAGAGTAAGTAGTAATTTTTTAATTTAATATTTATAATTTTTTTTTTTTATAAATATTAAATATTTCAATTTTATAAATTGATTTAATTTTAATAATTTATTCACGTTTTGTTGTGATTTCATGTTTAAGAATAAAAAAACGCGATTTATTATAAATTTTATAATGTAATAAAACCATTTTGGTTATTAATTATTAGAAAGGAATAATTTATTTAAAAGATATTTTTGTATTTATTTTTGTTTTATTATTGTTTTAAAAACTTTTTTATAATAAGATTAATGAAGGGAAATCAGCTTGGGATTTTATAAAGAATTGTTCGTAAGGAATTATGTAATTATGTAATATGGTAATATAATATAATAATATATATATATAATATATAATATAATATACTGTATATATATATATAAACTTTATGTATATAATGAATTCAATGTTTTTTAAAAAAGATTTTATGATTATAGATTATAGTAAGCCATAAGCCATACAAATAATATAAATGATATGCAAATAGAACAATGGAAATAAACTTTACATGAATGAATTTCCTTTTTTCTTTTTTTCTTTGAGTTTCAAACGTCAAAAATTTTTATGCATGTAAATTAACGACACGAGAATCCATAAATAGATTGATTAAAGAAAAAAATAAAAAATAAAAAAATAAAAAAATAAAAAAAATAAAATAAAATAAAATAAAATAAAATATAATAAAATAAAATAAAATAAAATAAAATATAAAATACAATGAATATATAAAAAATATATATATATAATAATAAAATATAAAATATATAAAATAATAATAATAAATTATAATAATAATAATAAATTATCATCATGCATTCGACTAAACTCTATTCATAAAAAAAATGCACCAGTATTTTCTAGTTACTATTATTACTATTATATGCACGTTAAAAAATTCACACGACACGTACGTCCCCAAACCTTATTGATAGTATTTGTCATTGTTATCATCAAATCGAATAAATGATTTAATGATGTCGCTACACGTTTCAATCGTTTCATAATGATAAATAATTTACCAATCAAGTTAACAAGAAAATTTTATGGGGCACGCTATTAAAAAAAACATCTTATTATACTTTGTCACAAAAACTTAAAGATTATTTAACTTTTTTTTTTCTCATCATTTGATTTAGATTTTCAGGGGTATTTTTTTTTTTTATTAAACGAACCGTTTTTTTTTTTTCTTTAAAATTTCTAATTTCTAAATTTGTTTCTATTGAAGTTATCAAGTTATTAAATTGTAAAGCTTTTTTGGTTAAGATCTTTTAAAAAGAATATCCCGTTTCAAAAAATTTGATTTCCGTTTTAAGTTATTTTAAAAAAATTTTTGAATTTTCCAATCATTTTAATTGTTTTGAATCTTAAATCGATTTCGCGTATTTATTTATATTTATTTATATTGCAGACATAAAAAAAAAATTTCCTTGTCTATTGGCGTAAGAGATTTCACACGTGAATTTTACGAAAATAGTTTCTTTAACAACTTCTTTCTATAATTTTGTTTTTCTGTAAAAAAATATAAAAAATTTTTTTATTGGTTGTAATTTTCATTCTCTTATATAAAAAAAAAAATATTCTTTTCCTTGGGTCCGTATACCCAAGAAAAAAAAAAAGATTTTATTAATAGCTCATAACTTTATAAAGTTTCATTGACAAAAAGAAAAATTTTTTTTTTTTTTTTTTTTTTTTTTTTTTTTTNATATGATAAAACTTATATAATATTCTTTTTAATAAATTTTTAATAATTTTTATGTTTTTTTTTAATAAACTTTTTTTATAAACTTTTTAATTTTTCTTAATAAACATTTTAATTTTTTTTAATAAGCTTTTTAATTTTTTTTAATTTTTTTTTTTTTTTTTTTTATCTATCTAAATATTAAAATAAAATTTAAACCTTCCTCCTTAAAAAGAAAAAAAAAAATCTTGGAAATAATATTGTTGTAATCTATTCATTGTTTGTAATATGCAATATCATTGAACTATAAATTTAATACTGGCCATATTTGGCACGTGTATTAAATAAATACATATTTATTTATTACCCTGCCGTAATCGGAATACGTAATGTTTTTCTTAAGTTTATGTCGAAAGGCATCCTAGGAATATCGTTCATAAGGATTCTCTCTCTCTTTTTTTTTTTTTTACTGTCAAATTACACTAATAAAATTTGTTCAAATTGAAATTATTATTTATTTAATAACAAAACAAAAATTTTTAAATAGTTGTTGGATGGAGAAAATGGGAAAAGAGATATCGGTCGAAAGTATTTGTCGATGTTTTCTCAATGAATTATTCATCGTGATCATTACATCTTGATGAACTGAAATAATATTACTCGACGCTTCCCCGTTTAGAATTCACTTTCACCTACAGCTTATTATAAGCGCAAAGGTAAATTTAAAAGGAAAATTTTGTTGTTATGGCTTGAACTTTTTATTTAATAACATTGATAAATCTTATTGGTGCCGGACTTTAGGAAAAAATTATGCTTATAACAGATTACCGAACCACTTTTACTACAATGCTCGATCGATTACACGCGAATTACAAAAAGGTTTCATATATCATAACAGAAAAAGGATATTTGTTGGAGCCAGATGTTTCCTGCAATTAAAGCGTATAAGGTGATGATTCAGCCTCCTTCTGCTCGTACCAAATACATATTCCTTCATATTTTCTCAATAGTTTGAGAGCTTTAAACTCTTTACGGTCGTTATGGATGATACTTCCTAGATATTTTGAAAGTGTAAATAATCTAATAGAGGATGGTACTGTTTTTCGGGCTGAAAGGTGCGCTACTTATTAGAAAGAATGTTGCTAGAAAGAAATTTTGTTAGTTAAAATACGATTGTGTTTTAAGATGTGCTTCTTAACATATACAAAATATACTAATTAGATTTATTCACATTGCTAGATTTTCTTTAAAATATCACAATATGATCACAGTTTTTCTCTTTTCGTTTTTCTTTAGCGGGTTTGTGATTTTAACAATCTGATTATTTTAATTTGAGAATGTTACATTAACCATATTTACCATATTTACGCATATGATCAGGTATTTAAAAATCTACATCATCATTATTTTTTTATAGTAAATAGGCCATAACGAACTGGTCGTGGCTGGATCCTCTAGTACTTTTACAAGAGAATCAAAAGTATTTCCGATTTCCCTTGTACTTGTTGGAGACGTTGAGAGCTACAAATCTTTCATCGCCTAATTCTATGTGAATGGGCATGGTTACTGCAAATCATATATCCGGTAAAATTTTTTTATAACTATTTTGGGCATCAAAGATTTTTATAATTAATGCATTAAGCTTTGTTTTTTATATTTATAAATTCATAGGTTAAACTGTTAAAAGATTCTTCTACTCTTTCAAAAGACTAATCTCATTATTTAGAGGTTATAGGTAATTTAATTGTATTTAATATTTTCATATTTTTTATTCTAGAAATATTATATTAGGAAGCGTAAGAGTCATATTTGGGAATGTTCTTTATTCTAAAAATTATACGACACGTCAATATTTAAGAATAAATTATTTTTCCGCTTTCTGTTTATTTAATTGAAATTGTTCGTGTGATTGGCAAATCATAGTTTACTTTTATCTTTATTTTTATAATGTACAATGAATCATAACTAATAAATTCTAATATATCATTTCGTAAAGACCGTTAATATCTACGCCAATTAACGAACTGCTTTGGCTGTTATTTATTTTAAGCATATGGGTTTGGCCTGCTTATCTAGAGGAAAACCTTAATCGAGAAGGAGTCCCTAAGCAAAGTGTAGAACTAACCTAAAAAAAAAATCTATTAAGTTAGCAATAACATGTTGTTTAGGAAAAAGAGGACAAAGAAAACGAAAAATATATCGCAATGGGTAAGATTAAAAAAGGGGAAAGAGGGAACAAAAAGAGTACGGATACATCTTTTTGAAGAAAATCTAATAGCTCCCTCCTACAACTGCTTCAAAGAATGCTTTAAGAGCGTTGGAATTTCCGGTGACGCTCCCAACAAAATTCGTTCCCACGTGACTCATTGACCGGCGTTTGACATAAACGTCTGATTCGTCTGAAGTACTTAGATTGATCATGTGAGATTAATTTTATTAGTTCGTTTATATAGATCATCACGTGTTCCCGTCATTTATATTATGGATTTTACTAATATATTCAAATCTATTTTAATTTAATATACCTGATACATTATTTTGTTCTAAAAAAAAGTTCCGGTATAATGTAATTTGATTGAAAGTAACAATAGCGAAGTATGTGACAATTGACAAGCACCTAGAATTATACTTGTATGTACGCGGGGTGAAATAACGAGGATTGAAATATAAAAGTGAAAATAAAAACTAATTTTTCAGTATAAGCTTTTCTTTGAGTTTAAAACAATTTAATAATAATATTTCTCAAAAATTATTATTTTATTCTATGCAATTTTTTTTTCTTGTATATAAACAAAGTAAAATAGCATTTCAATTTCTTAAATTTGCTAATTATATAAAAATCTTATAAATGTTTCTCAGTTAATAAAGTAAAATTTTGACTTTTTTATCTTGAACTATGAAAATATATGAAAACTATTACTGTTATAATAAATCGAAAGTATGACGATAGAAAGTTTACTTTTTGTTAATGTGTTGAGAAGCAGTGAGATAATTTTTCAATAAAAATTCGTGTTAAAGGCGCTCTACTGTGATACATTCACGCCCAATCATAAAAGGATATGTTGATTTTTTGTGAGATACCGCAAAATCCTGTGCGTGAAAAATAATTACCGCCAGTGAGAACTGAACTATACAGCCATACATGTAAAGGGGCCGTGAATAGAAATATCGGTCGAAGACCGATACCCCCATCCAATAAATACATATTAGCCCTGTTCATTTCCGGTCGGTTGCATTTTTCGGTCGGATTTTGTTGTACAAAAATTATCCAATAAAATTTTTTTATTTTCGATCGCAAATTGAACTGCTTTAGAGTTCGAACTCCTTATATTGATATATATTTTTTTCTTAAATGTCACGTAAACAGAAATTATCTAATTTTGGTTGGTTATTTTTGGCGTTCGACCAAAAAACCCAAAAAAAAATTGGGCTAAAAGTTCAGAAAATGGTTGCGTTGTACAAACTGATCAGCCCGATCAAAATTAACTTAAATCTGACCGAAAAATGCGACCGACCGGAATTGAACAGGGCTATTATCGTTCTGACGTTTTTGATCATGCATTAATTAATAACATCATAAATAAGCTTTCTATAAATTTCATTTTTATTTGCTTTATTTTAAATTTTTCCTACAAAATATTCATTTACGCCATTTTTTTTTATCAATCATGTGTTATTGCTATGGCTAATAAAAGTATCGGTCTATGAAAATCTGCATGATCCTAGCTTTTTTTAGTTCATATTGAGAGTTAAAAAAGTTTATGTATTAGTTTTAAAAAAAAATTATATGTAAAAGTTTAAAAAAAGTTTATTATATAAAAGTTTAAAAAGTTTATATAAATGTATAAATAAGTTTATTTTAAGTGATTGTTTTATTTTTTTTATTCTACTTACTTAAATTATCGTATGATCATATATGGATTATTGTATGTCTGAATAAAATAAATGGATAGGATGTTCAATATGAGCCTATGTGGCTAAATGATAATAATAATTATACATAGCGTATAATCTTGTTATTTATGCGTTCAGCGCTTATAGTAAAAATTATAACTAATATCAATTTGATTTTCTGTTTAACAAAATGATCCCTCCCCTCAGAAATTTTAAATTTAGATAGACAACAAAAAAAGCAAAGTTTTATTAATTTTTTTTAAATCCCTTCCTCTCCCTCAAAAATTTTGGTTTCTTATACATATTAAAAAAAATTTTTATATTTTATTCCCCCCATGAAAATGATTTCTTTTTTATTACTTCCTCTTATTTTCAAAATTTTTAATAGTAAAAATAATTTAAAAAATTTTGTAAACTATTTTTGGCCCCCTGCCCCCCTCTTTTTTCAATAAAAACTCTTGTTAAACAGAAAATCCTATTGGCCTGGCCTAATGTTAAAAGTGTTTATCTATATTATCTATATTATGTTAAATTCTTTAAGTATTTTTTTTTTTTGTTTAGTATAAATACAGTACATTAAGCATTTACTGTTTATAAACAGTATTATAATATGAATTATACATTATACGTTAAATAAATTAAATATGAATAATTAATATACAAAAAAATAATTTATGAATCTTTTTATTATAAAAAGTTATTTATTTAGTATTTGTTGGTGATGACCGTCAGTGAAACAAAATGATCCTATCTGTTAAATAACTGTCAGTGAGCTGATTGTTAGTGAAACAATTTTCAGTAAAATAAATACGCCCTATTCTAAACACAAAGCCACAGATTTCAGAGTGATTTTTAGGGGATAAAAATTTGAGAAATTCCTAAGAATTATGAAATTTTCTTAGAAAAAATATAAATATGGTTTAAACGAAAATCGAGATTCAATTTTCGATTGAATCGATTCAAATCCCTAGTAAAAGTTGTAAACATAGAGCAAACCATCGACTTCGCTTAAATTTATTGTACAATTATATATATATATATATTTATCGATATATGGTTTTTACACAAAAAATATGAGATTTGGCGCATTTTAGTGTCTCTGACTATTGTTTATTGTAAGCAGAATATTCTTATTTAAAAGGAATGTTTGTATCACATTTGTAATATTAATGGATGTAAATCACAAATAAACCAATTTTGGAACTTCATTGAACATCTGATTCCGTTGTAAGTGTTTCTAAGAATTCGTTTGTTTTGACTTCCATAATCTTGATTTTAGTAATTTTTTAAATTTTAATATATTTAAATAAATTAAATAAATTTCTAAATGGTAAATTAAAACAATATTTTGCCTGAAATTATCCTTTATAAATTGCTTAATATTGTTTAGTTTTTATAATATTAAAAAGTTAAATTATTTTCGGTTCACGATGCTTTGCAAGATTGTCGGTTGAACAAACATAATAAATGTTGAATGTAATACTGTTTAACCTGTACATCCTCCTAAATTAGAATTTTTGGCGTTTGATGAAAATAAATCAAACAAAAAAAGCATATCAGATATAGTAATTAAAGAATTAAATTACTTAATTTGATTATACTATTAAAGCAAGCATCATACAGTTACGCGATATATTTTTGTTATATATAATTAAGGAGTGGTTTTTGTTTTTACTCAGATTCAATTCCATACTTTTATTTTCAAGTTATTTTAACAAAAAAAAACGTCCTTTAATGCCGCCGTTATTAGAGAAGATTTAATTGATGAAATACATAATAGAACAAATGCATTTTTGGATTATGATATTTGCGATAACGTATACAAACAATACGAATTTATAAAACAAATAATTCTTACTGATGAATTATTTACGACAGATGAAAAAGCCGAGGCAATAAATTCACTTACTAAATATTATGATAAAAAAAAAGTACTTTTAAGTGAAGGAACAAGGAGAATTTGTGAAAATTGTAACCAAGAATGTTTTGCTACATTATATTGTGAACATTGTGTTAAAAATTATTTAAAAGCAAACTTTTCAAATTGGACATCTGGAAATGGTGATATTGATAATTTAATACAGAAATGTCAATTAGAAACACTCTCACCAGATAAAATTATTGAATGGATCCCATATTATAATTTACAAAATATTAAATATTTAACTAAAGGTGGGTTTTCAGAAATTTATACAGCAGATTGGATTGATGGATATTTTTATGAATGGGACTCTGTAAAGCAACAATTAAAAAGAATTGGAACTCATAAAGTAATACTTAAAAAGTTAGAAAATCTTGAGAGTGCAAATCAAAGTTGGTTTAACGAGGTACGTGATTTGTAAGTATTTTGTTTTTTTAAAAATGAATTTAATAATTACGTAATATTGACCTTTTTAGGCCAAATACCATCTAATCCTAAGTAATAAGTATGACTTTATAGTACGTTGTTTTGGCTTAACTCAAGATCCATTAAATGGAGATTACATACTTATAATGAGACAATTAGATATAAATTTAAGAGAATATTTACGAAAAAATCATGATAAACTTATATGGAAAGAAAGAATAAAAATTACTGTTAATATCATAAAAGCACTTGTCAGCATTCATAAAGAAAATTTAATTCATAGAGACTTACATTCAGGAAATATATTATATGATTGCTATGATACCAATTCTTGGTTTATTAGTGATTTTGGGTTTTGTGGCCCCGCTGGTAAATCAACAGAAAGTATATATGGTAATCTTCTTTATATAGCACCAGAAGTCATTAATGGAAACGAAACTACTTTTAAATCTGATATTTATAGTATTGCAATGCTCATGTGGGAAATTTCAGCTGGACAACCACCATTTTTTAATTATGAAAGAGACAATAACCTTGCCACGAATATAATAAGCGGAATGAGACCAGAAATAATAACGGGAACTCCTACACAATATAAAGAATTAATAATTCAATGTTGGGATAATGATCCATTAAAAAGACCAGATATTGATACACTTAAGGAAAAAATCAATATATTATATCAAAATATGCCAAATGCAAGTGATAATTTAGGAATTTTTAGTAGTAACTTTTTAAATAAAGCTCAAACAGAAGAAAAATGTACAGAAGAAAAATGTACAGAAGGTACGAAAGTCATTTATTTAAATCTTTCGTTGTTTATTTTAAAACGTATCATTAACATTGCATGTATGCATAAATTGTTTTATGTTTGGTTATAATAATAATAGAACAAGACGAAGGTATATTTCACTTATTTAAGTTATTATATCATATACAGATATATACAAAATATATAGTACTTATTATCATTATTATTTTTCTTTTATTTAAAAGAATTTCATAGTAAATTATACGACGACTTCAATATTCCTGATAATAGTAAGTATATATCTTATAAATACAATACAAATAACAATAATATTAATTATTATTATTTTTTTTTTAGTCGATGACTTTGATAATACAAATGATGATAATAATAATAAAGCAAATAACATTATTAAAGGTACGGTAAATATTTAACTTTTGCAATAAAATAAATAAGCTAATTTATTTCAATAAATTTAGATATAAGCAATGAAAAATCTTTCTTATCAAATGAGTGTAAGTTGACCTATATTTCGAATTTCAGTCTTGTTGAATTGATGATTAACTAGCTAAATAAATTAACTAAATAATAATAACTTTTTAAATTTTTTTATAGATATTCAAAGAGAAATTCAAGAAGCGATTCAAGGAATAATCCAACATCGAGAGGAAAAATATTATATAGTCCAAAAACAAATAATGAAGTATCATCAATATTTTATTATTGGTATGTATATAATTTTAAAAATTTAACTATAATAAATTATATAAGTTTTTTGATATTCTTTTTATTATAGAAAAATATGATGTACAGAACAATCCAAATCTTCATGGTAAATATTTAAATAGTTTAAACTTTTAATAGATTTTGTATTAATAACTCATTTAAATTTTAGATATTCGTAAGTATCTTTGGAGGAATTTAATTGCATGATATATAATAATAATATATCCGGAAGATGCGTTGATGCGTTACTGTGATATAAGTTTTATAAAGCTATTAATAATTATTGAATAATTATTTTCTTTTTTAGTCAATAATTTTTAATAGATGTCATATTTTTCATGAATATATATTATGTTCGCTAATCTTCTTTCTTAATATTTTATAGAAAAAAGAGAAAAAAGAAACCCGATAATGAACAGTAGATTTTCTGATTCTAGATCACGTGATATTAGCCTGATAAAAAGTATGTTTATCTTACATAAACTCTCGTTTTAAAATATTAACATATCAACTTAATGATTCTATTTAATAATATGGTTTTTAAAGCATGTTATGAAAGTTATGATAGTAATGCTTATAATTTTAGTATTCCTGATGATGGTAAGTATTTATTGAAATTAATTTTTATTATTATATAACGATCTTTGCAGAAACTATAAAATTTTTTCCGATGTCAATATGATATTGATAAGATATCATTAAAACACCAATATTATAATCGTTTATATTCCTACACGAGACAGTTACCATTAAGTAACGGTAAAAATAATGGTGCATCACAGTTATCGTTACAATGTTATTATTACATTATTATACGAATCCTGAAGATATCACATTAGGATTTAATACAGTATATTTACAATGTCACATAAATATCAAAATGATATATTAACAATTTTTTACTGAAAATTTATAATCTATTAAATATTTATATTATATTACAAATTATACCATTATACTTAATTCTACTCAAATGTTTAGTGTAAAACTATTCTATCCACCTAGAAATTGTTCTAATCGTCATACCTAAAAAATAATTGATAATACAATTGGATAAAAATTTACACATCCGAATCTATCTATAAATTATTATAAAAATAACATCTTTTTTGTTAAAGTTTTCAAATTTTTAACATCGAAACTTAATTCTCCTCATCAAGTTTCCATGCATTCAATATCTGAATAACCAAACCATCTACAAAGAAAAGACAACTATGAAAATTAGTTATAAAATAAAAAAAAAAGAAAATAAAAATAAATCTTACCAGAATTCCACGCGTTTCATTTAAAAAAAAAGAAACAGACAGTTCGTTATAAAACCCAAAAAAGGGATTGATAACTTACTCATCCAAAGAAAGATCTGACATCTAAAAAATAAAAAAATTGAAACAGTTTATTAAAAGTTTCATTAAAAAAGCAAATTTTAAAAATTTTGCCATTCCTACCAAATTTCCCACATGTTTTGAGAGTCAATCGCCTAAAAAAAGAAAAAGAAGTAACTGTTCTTTGAAAGATAGATAAAAAATAAAATAAAACAAAATCCTGCGTCCAAAGAACTGAAGAGCTGTCTTAATTAATTAATATTTCTCTTAAAATTTGTTGAAAAAGAAATCCAATATATACCCACACTACCATCATTTTTGAGATATTATGACTTACAATTAATTCATATTACGGAAGAGCACCAAAATATCCAAATAATATAAATTAAAAGTACGTACACACATGAAAGGAAAGGGTGGAAGATGGATGAATAAAAGAACAAAAGAAAGAGAAAGGACGAGAAGTAAAAGGGAAGTAAAAGGACAGGTGAAAAAAAGTGAAAAAAAGATCAGTTATACTAGCAAATTGAACTGCGGTGGTTATTAATATCTATTATCACATGATATCATGATGGCGAACTTGGTATCACCATCGGAGCTGAAGTTCCTACAAAAAGATAAAAAAAAGTTAATACAAAAATGCTGAAACCGTTTTTTAAATAAATGTTTTGAATTTTGTTTTCAGAGAACTTGGAACTGAAGTTCTTACATTTTTTTTAATAAAAGTTTCAATTTTATTTCGATACTTACTTGATGTAGCTGCATTCCTACGAAAATAAAAATATAACGATAATATAAAAGTGTTTTTTTTAAATGAGTCCACGTTAGAATTGATTTCCTAAAAAAAAAAGTAAATAAAAGTTAACCTGCCAAATAAAAAAAAAATTATAAAAAATTTTTCATTGAAATACCTTCTGAAGTCCAAAAAAAAAAAATTAATTAAAAATTCATCATCCAGTAGTCAACTGAATCTGCAAAAAGAAATTAGAGGAACATAACAAAATGTTTTTTTTTTAAAAAAAAAATAAATAAATAAAAAAGTAAAGTTTCATGATGAAACTTTTTCTTTTCCAAACCATCCAAACTTACAAAAAAAAAGTTTGAAATTTCTATGATCTTTATGAAATTAATACATATCTGATATCTCAGTAATTGTTCGTCTAAACACTAAAATAAGCTGGGACCTAGTATATATAATAAAAAAAATCAATTATTTCAACCAGAATCTCACGTGTCCAGAGTCCAATCATCATCCATTGATTTATCGAAAGATACTTGGTCTTGATCTTTGAACGATGTCTTTATCTAATTAACAAGTTAGTTTGGCCTAAATCAACTTCACGATGCTCAACAATATTCCTAAGCTTAGAAAGGTACCTCATAGTCAATATCCTAAAAAAACAGAGGTAGCAAAATATTCCATAAAAAAATCATTTAAAAAACTCTTTCCATCAAAATCTCATCTCACACCGAAAAGTTTCCTAGAAAAAGGAAAATCAAACTTTTGTAGAGTTCGTTGAAAAAAATCTTTGTTTTATTTACCGAAATTTATATTCAAAGTGATTCTTCAGTTGTCTAAAAATGAAATATTTCATTAAAAGAATTAAATTCGAAAAAATATAGTTCCAATTTCCTATTTCATGCATCCAAGCCCATCTAAAAAAAATGAAAAAAAAGATAAATTCAAAATATTTCATGTTTCGTTAGAATAAATAAATTAAAATAGAGAAAAAAAAACCTACTGAGAATGAATCTTGCACACCAAAAGAGACCCGAGGAAAATCTAAAAAAGAAAAAAAAAAAGAATTGTTAGTAATATTTCGTTAAAATAAATTTTTAAAAAAAATTTTTTTTTGAAAACTTACATCCAGGAGCCGCCTAAAGGAAAAAAAATCAAAATTTTATAATATTTCATTATAGAATTTAATTTTTTTTGTGGGTACTTTTCAACTCTTTTTTTAAACAAAATATGAAAGAAGGAAAGGGAGGGAAATAGGAATAACAGAAAGGAAAAAGTGAGTTAAAAAAAAATATTTTTTTGAACATGTGAAGGAGGGTTAAAAAAAGTTAATGAAAGTTTATTTTTAAAAAGAAAAAAGCGATTGAAAAGGGAGTTAAAAGAGTTAAAAAAGTTTATTATTATTAAAAAGAAAAAAGAGAGTGAGAGGGGAGTTAAAAAAGTTAAAAAAAGTTTATTTTAAAGAAAGAAAAAAAGCGAGTGAAAATGAGTTTATATTAAAGATCAAACTGGATATCACATGATATATAAATAGAGGCTTCTCCGAAATTTATTTTAATGTTAATTATATTAATTATATTAAGGTACATATTTAAGGAACATTAGTTATTAATTAATACATAAATAACGAGAATATTAATATTTACAATTAAGTTTTTTAAGATATTTTTTTGATATTTTTAAAATACTGTGGCAATACCTATAATACGCTTTTTCTATATATATTTTCAATGAATTAACAATATTATAAAAAGATGCAGTCAAAATGTCATGTGAAATCTCGTTGTGATACTGGATTAACATCAGAACAATTCGTTAAAAAAAAAGGATTGTCACGTTACCCTAAATTTATCTTACGTATGTTTTAGTAATAACGTAACGATACCTTTCAAAAATTCAAGGTTTCTGCAAAGATATTAATTCATGGATTATTTCTTTTAGTTAAAGATTTCAATAATTCAATTAATGAAAATAATAAAATACTAGAATCAAGTAATATGTCCAAAGATGAAATATATAATAATTCAAATTCTTATTCGGACGAATCTTATAATGGTAAAAATTTGATATTTAAATTTTAGTTAGCAAGATAATATTTGATTATAAGTATTTATATATTTATACTAATTGTTTTTCTTTTTTTTTTTTAGTAAATGATAATAATTCAGGTAAAATAATAATAATACTAAATTAAATAATATTGAATCGGGTATATCCAAATTCTTTAATAATTATTTTTAATTTCATCTATTTAATAAAGAAATAAAAGGTTCCATATTTTGGAGTGATGCGCTTGAAGCTCGCCTCTATGAGCTGTATATGAAGGATGATGTTATAGATATATTTTGGGGTCGACCTATTGAAGATCATCTTGTAGGTAGTACTAATTGGAATATTTATGTAATTACGCGTGGTTTATACTGTCCATATGCCAGGACAGAAATAATCGCAGACGACCAAGTTATTCATTTTATCGCAGAGGAGACTGGATTTGCTACTTCTAGTGATCCATTACCAAGTTCAATAAAGATTCCACAGAATCTAAAGAAATTTTTTGATGAAGCTTTAGATAATGAATTAGGACTGTTGTTTCGTGAAGCACATTATAATTTAGTTGGTATAAGTACTGGATATAAACAAATCGGTGGGAAGTTTACTGAAGATCCAGCAATTATATTTTATGTTCGTCAGAAAGGTATTTTACGTCGTGGATGTGGTGGTATATTTCCAAAAAAAATTTGTGGATTTTTAACAGATGTTATTGAAGCATGTGCTGCAATGCCTTGTAGTAGTTTTGAGGCGGTCTATTGTCAATGTTATCAGGAAAATGTTATGTTAGGTTCAAGTATAGGCATAGGGTCAAATGAAACTCGAAATACAACTGGAACTCTTAGTGCTATTGCTTATGAAAATAACTCTCCAAATCGGATTGGTATTATTTCATGTGAACATGTACTCAAATTTAATGAATCAAATCCTAGAAAAACGATTACTATTTATCAGCCTTCATATAATGATCTGTTTGAACCAAGAAGAAGATTACGAGAATTACAAGAATTATCAAAGTTAGGAGGAAATGAACATATGGATAATATCAATAAAATGCAAGAAAACTTAAATCTTGCAGAAAGTCAAAACTCGAAACTTGCTACTTATGTAAAGGGAATACGAAAAAATTTTCATTCTAAAATAGATAATAAGAAATATGGTATTGATGCTGGATTTTGTGTCTTTGATAATAAAAATCGTAAACTATATTCAAAAAACTTTTCAGTTCCTTCAAGTTACTTTGAAAATGCTGGACTTTCTACTTGTTTAAAAGGTACTTATACTAGTTGTGAATTGAATGAATTGAAGAATTTTAATTATAATAAAAAGAGAGTTTTTAAAGTAGGAAGAACTACAGGACTTACTCTTGGACAATTACTTCCTACTGATCAAGCTATTGCTTGTAATTTAACAATTGAAAGTATAAAAAGTTCAAAAAAGTTAGAAATGGAAAAACATATTCCTTGTTATAACAACGCAGATCAAAAAATTTTTATTGGATATATGAAATCACAATTAGATTCAGAAGTTCGTCAAAAACGTAAAAAATGTTATCCTATTGAATGGTTTGATCGTCAATTGGCATTTAAATTTGAATCTGGAGATTTTGATTGTGGCGATTCAGGAGCAAGCATTATAGATGAAACAGGAAAGGCTATTGGTATTCTTCATGCAAGATGGATAACACCATATCAGACATATGGTATTGCTTCTCCTTATTTCGCAATTCTTGAAGCACTTGACGTAAGCATTCACTTATCTCCCGATCCTGTTACACCAACAGTTACTTCTTCATCATCAAGTAAGTTTAATCATACTAGCTCAAATTTATTTAATTAAATATTGTTTTAATTTATACTATTTACTTTTTAGATATTAAAATCAATTATAAAAAAGAGATTGTAAAAATGCAGGATGTTAAACAACCACAAAAAAATCAGTCTAAAGTATATCTCGATCAATATTGTTCTTATTATTATTACAATATTACCCCATCAAATTCAACAAATTATATTTCTAAAATGAGTAGATTGACTTTTTCAATGATACTTCCTAAATTAATTAGTACATTAATATTTTAATAAAATAATAATAATCTATTTATTAAATTACATTAATTATTTTATTACTTTTTCATTTATTTATTAACGTAATAAGATGGTTTTCGGAAATGTGGAAATAAAAGCAGTTATCAATGTTTATCTCTATAATCCTTAAAATGTAAATATATATTTATAAAATACAATTATGAAACATATTCATTTCATCTAAAATATTCCCGATTTGAAAACAGCTATTCTACATACAGCTCACGTAAATATTTTGAAGTGAAAAGACAAAATATTGTAAATTTATCATGCCCGCTACTTCCGAATGTATCCCAAATCTAATTTTACTGTTAAAAAAACAATGATCATCTTTCAATTAATACATGATTGTACACAGGCGGTCTCGATAAACCGGACTTATCCGTTCTGTTAGAAACCCAACATATCGAAAATAGGTACTATCTGCTATATAATCTGTTCTATCCAGACCCAGTGCCTGATATTAATCGATGTTCGTTTACTGTATGCTTAATTGGAATATCGAATACTGTATGTATAAAATTTTTTGGGCATAGTCGGAGTACTATATATTAGGGATTGGAATCGATTCTACCAAAATCGAATTAATCGAAAATCGAATCGTATCTAATCGAATCTAAAAATCAATAAATCAATTTTTTTTATATTATGGCGCAATAAAAATAGTCATGTCATTTCTATAACTACGTTACGGTAAAAAAATAATATCGGAATTATCAAAATTGCCGAAAAATGATCATTTATGATCAACTACAGTTGAAGAAACAGAAAGACAAAAATTAGAGAATTGCCAGCTCTTGAGGAGTATGATACAAAGCCCAATATCCTATATTGCATAAAATGGCAATGAAATATCTTTCCATTCCGGCTACCTCAGTACCATCAGTTACTCCTCAAAGAAATCGCCTAGATTAAAGCATCATTAATAAAAAAAATAACTGATTGGTTTGGAAACGAATTTTAAAACCTTGATTTTTTTTTGATAAGTTTGTAATAAACCAATTCAATATATCTATATAAATAAAACCTTATTATAAAATAAATAATCATCGAAATTGCTGCGCCACAAATACATTTAAAAAATATCTATATAATAAAAAAAAAGTGGAGACATAGTCGGAGTACTATATATGTAATTATGTAACGCTTTGTAGAAACAAAAATTATATGGGTTATGATATTTGAGATCAATATAAATGAAGTAAACGTAGTTGCTGAATAAATATTTAACTTTAAATATAAAAATAAAATTTACGGCATGTAATACTTAAAATAGTATAATATATTCAATAATCATAACATGTAGCTTTATCAATTTACGAACGAATATTAATAAAAAGCCATTAATACTGTATGGATTATAAATTTTTTTCGAGTTAAATTAACATTATAAAAATAAACCCTACATGTTGTAAGTTATAAATGAATTGACTAAACAAACAAGTAAAGTTCGTACGCAAGTAATATTACAGTTAAAGTTTAATAAAGTTATTATGCCGTTAGATTCCAAAAACAAATTTCTTAATTATAGCCCAATAAAATCGGTAGAACGGGATCTTTATAATTTCTTTCACATGATATGCTGACTGAATCGAATTATGATCATAATTTCTTATTTACAGAATTTAATTTTACGTAAATCCTTTAAAAATACTGCGACGATAACGACAAAAAAATTTTCTGCCGATCTTAATATATATCGGAGCGCTATACTTTCTTTCTTGCACATGATACTACTTATGAAAAAAGAATTCTGGAATTTATCTTAAATTTGTCCTCATTGTCCAGATAATGTCTGGAATCTTTTACATTTTCGGTACGTTATCCGGACGTTCGGAATCTTTCATATTACGGCACATTTTCAAGGACGTTTTCTAGACATCCGAACATTTTCGCTGCAATTTTCGGACGTCTCTTTTGTAGGATGCCAGCAAGATAAAACAAAATAAGGTGTTCTCACGTAAGATCTCGCAAAGTATATGTATTATAACAAAAAATTTGTAACACCTTTACATATCGTATCCTGAACTCACCAAGGTATTTAATTTCCGTTCACAGTTGTAATTGTATGTTATTGTATGGGCGTGCTTAATAATGGTATGATTGGCACGAAAGTGCCGCATCAGATAATTATTAAGAATAACGCCCGTACAATAAATAATAACGAATATTGTATAGTAATTTAAATATTGACAATTATATTAACAACGATGTGTGATAATAAGTATGGTTGTACATAGTGCTTCGACCCGGATTGATCCGTTGATTAGCATCACAACATTTTTCTATTATTTTTGTCAAACTATAATTTTTGTCAGATTTAAAAAATTATTTTTCTACAAATATTATTAATTTTTGGCAAAACTTATAGCTCCAACTCAAATAAACCGATGCCAACCCGTAGTAAACCGCGGATTGATCCGTTAAAAACCCATCCAGGTCGAAGCACTAGTTGTACAGTCAACTCTCGATATAACGAACCCTCTGGTTTTCATTTCAAATTCGTTATAAGATTATGGCGAAGAATTCAAAGAATTTAATTGGCTGGTTCGCTATAACGAGATTGGTTAAATGTCACGTGTTGGGAAATTTCGTTATAACGTCAGTTATATCGAGAGTTGACTGTACAGTACATATTTTTTTCCTAAAAAAACAACATAGTAATGTTTTGTTATTTTATATATATTTCTAGATTCTTCAGCTATAAGCGACTTGGATCATAGAGAGAAAGACAAAAAACTGATTCTTTAAATCCAGTTTTTACTATAATTTGGAACGGTTTTGAGTTGAAAACAATGACTTCACAGAACATTTCCTTAACTAATATGCAAAATTTGATGGAAAAAACAAGAACTTTTGAATGATATCATGAAGCTTATGTACTAACAAAGAAATCTATATTTAAGGTATATAATAATATTTCGGTCAAGCTTATAAAAGAAATGAGAGTTTAGCACACCAATATCATAAGCTCGTCAAATCAGTTATTACCCAGTATCATTAATTTTGGCCTGTGTGAAATTGATATTAAATATGTGACAAATAGGATTTAATTGAATATAACCCAACAGCACCCAGAAAATTCTTCGATCACGTGATCTGTTTTTTTATTTATCACATCGTCACGCCCCTGTCCGAGTTTCACTGTTTATATTTATCTGAGGGACGATTTTTTCAAGTAGATGAAATTCTATTTGTCACGTTTTATTCATCACAACCTAAATTCTTCGATCACGTGTAAGTGCATAACGCCGGCCGAGTTCGAAGAATTTTCTGGGTGCCGTTGGGGTAGTTTTGAATTGATAGTAAACACATGACTATATGGGTAACCTAAACTCTAACCTAACTACTAACCTAACTTCTAACCTAACTCTTAAAACTAAACCTAATGAATTCTGAGATCACGTGAGGTGGAAAATTGGAAGGTTCATTGTTGATCGTTCAATCATTCGACATGCGGTGTCACATATTACGATTAATTATTGTAACGTGCCGTTCTTAGAAGGTTTAATTACTAATTCAACGAATTATTATTTAATAACTGAGACATTAGATATTAGACCAACTTTTTATAGAATTCAAGTTTGTAGCACAGTATACGTATTTATTATAAATTTAAATAATAAAGTCTATCATTTATTTCATAAAAAAAAATTTGACTTAATTACTAATTCATTCTATATTCAGGTTGGATCAAAACTATAATATAATATTTATTAATACCTCAAGAAAAATGGATGATAATAATGAAGAGCAAAAATCATTTTCTCCAATTCAGTCTTCATCTTGTAAGATTTTTATAATTTTTTATGCTAAAAACTCGTTTTTAATTTTTTTCTTTTTTTTAAAAATAAATTTTTATTACAACAAAATCTTAATTACTAATTCTTTTTCTTTTTAGATAATTATTCAGGTAATAATATATGTTAAACCCAATAAATTTCATTACAATAATAATAAATTTGTAATAATTAATTTCAGAATCTAGTAAAAAATCTAGTCTCCCAATATTCAGTACTCATACTCCAGGTAATAATATTCCAAAATAAATAAACCTCTTTTTAAGTGACATTTGTTCAATCAATGCAAAATTTCATATTTTTATTTATTAGTTATTTTAACAAAAATATGTCCGTTAAATACATCAGTAAGGCTAACATAAAAATTTGAAAATTTCAGGAATATTTGGCTCTGCGAGAGGAATATTCGTTGATATAGCGCTTAGTAGAGCAAACACATTATTAGACGATAATATTTACGATAACATACATAAACAAAATGAATTTAGAAAACAAACAATTCTTGGTGATGAATCACTTACAACAGATGAAAAAACAGAGGCAATAAAATTACTTGCTAAATATTATGATAAAGAAAAAGTACTTTATAATGAAGGAACAAGAAGAATTTGTGAAAGTTGTAACCAAGAATGTTTAGCTGCATTATATTGTGAATATTGTGTTAAAAATTATTTAAAAGCAAACTTTTTAAATTGGACATCTGGAAATTATGATATTGATAATTTAATACAGAAATGTCAATCAGAAACACTCTCACCAGATAAAATTATTGAATGGATCCCATATCATAATTTAAAAAATATTAAATATTTAACTAAAGGTGGATTTTCTGAAATTTATATAGCAGATTGGATTGGTGGACATTTTTATGAATGGGACTCTGTAAAGCAACAATTAAAAAGAATCGGAACTCATAAAGTAATACTTAAAAAGTTAGAAAATATTGAGAGTGCAGATCAAAGTTGGTTTAATGAGGTATGTGATTTGTAAGTATTTTGTTTTTTTAAAAATGAATTTAACAATTACGTAATATTGACCTTTTTAGGTCAAATACCATCTAACCCTAAGTAATAAGTATGACTTTATAGTACGTTGTTTTGGCTTAACTCAAAATCCATCAAATGGAAATTACGTGCTTGTAATGAGACAATTAGATATGGATTTAAGAAAATATTTACAACAAAATCATAATAAACTTACATGGAAAGAAAGAATACAAATTACTGTTAATATCATAAAAGCACTTGTCAGCATTCATAAAGAAAATTTAATTCATAGAGATTTACATTCAGGAAATATATTATATGATTGCTATACCAATTCTTGGTTTATTGGTAATTTTGGTTTTTGTGGGCCCGCTGATAACAAATTAATAATTATATATGGAAATCTTCCCTATATGGCACCAGAAGTAATTAGTGGGAAAACCTATATTTCATTTGCATCTGATATTTATAGTATTGCAATGCTTATGTGGGAAATTTCATCTGGACAAGCTCCTATTATTAATTTTAAACATGATTATAATCTTGTAATGAATATAGTAAATGGAATGAGACCAAAAGTAATACCAGGAACTCCTATAGAATATAAAAATTTAATGAAACAGTGTTGGGATGCTGATCCATTAGAAAGACCTGATATTAATGCACTTTGGAAAAAAATAAATGATCTTAGTTTATTTTATCAAAGTAAACCAAATGAATTAATTCAAAATAGTAGTTTAGAAATAGATAACTTAGAAACAGTTACTACTAGTAAATTATTATTTACAAGTAAAGTTCATCAATTTGAAAATTTACCCGAACCGAAAAATGCAACAGAAGGTATTATTATTAATATTATTTTGAATATGATATTACATTTAAAAATATACTAACATTTTATTGTCCATTTAAATTAAATAAAATACAAAATAGAAGAACAAGAAGGTATATGCAATAATTTGTAGTTTAATGTGCAATTATTATAGTAAACTTTTATGAAATTATTAAATAATTATTTTAGTTAATAATTTTATATTTTATTAGATTTTTAAACAAATTCATAAATATATATTTTATGACTACTAATAATTTTTAGTTATTTTATAGAAACGAAAAAATTTTTTACAATTATAAAAACTAATTTAACTGATATTCACATTATAACAGAAAATGCAACAGAAGGTATAATTACATATTTGATATAATTTTGTCTTTTAAAAAAGGTACATTCATTTAACACTTTTTTATATTTACGTAAATTAAATAGAAGAACAAAAAGGTATACAATTTTTTAATTTAATTTAGATCAAGTATACTGATTATATTTTAATTAATTTTTTCTTTTTTATTTTAAAGCATTTTATAATTGTAATGTTTATGATTTCAGTATTCCTGATAACAGTAAGTATAATTGAAAATTTAATTATTACATAATATTAATTTGTTGATTATTTTTTCAGTTGATTTCACTAGTTCAAGTAATGAAAATAGTAATAACGTACTCGAATTAAGTAATGTCCTTAAAGATGAAATATATAATTGTTCAAATCCTTATTCAAAAAGACAAGGCAAATGTCATAATAGTAAGATTTTAATAGTATTAAATTTTCAGTTTATAAAATATTTAAATAAAATTCAATTACTATAAGTATTTATAAAGTATATTTATATATTATTTCCCTTTTTTTAGGTGATGATAATAATTCAGGTAAAATAATAATATTATTATTAAGTTACAATGATACAGTATATCCAAATTTTTTAATATCTTTTTTTATATAGAAGTAAACAATTCTATATTTTGGAGTGATGCACTTGAAGTTCGTCTATGTGAATTATATATGAAAAATGATGTTATAGATATATTTTGGGGTCGACCTGTCGAGGAACATCTTAAAGGTAGTACTAATTGGAATATTTATGTAATTACTCATGGTTTATACTGTTCATATGCCAATATAGAAAGAATTGCGGACGGTCAAGTTATTCATTTTATTGCAGAAGAGACAAAATTTGTTATTTCTAATGATCCATTACCAAGTTCAATACAGATTCCACAGGAACTAAGGGAAAATTTTGATGAAGCTTTGGATAATGAATTAGGATTGTTATTTCGTGAAGCACATTACAATTTAGTTGGTATAGGTACTGGATATAAACAAATCCGTGGTCAGTTTACTGAAGAACCAGCAATTATATTTTATGTTCGTCAGAAAGGTATTTTACGTCGTGGATGTAGTGGCTTACTTCCAAAAGAGATTCGTGGATTTCCAACAGACGTTATTGAAGCGTGTGTTGCAACGCCTTGTAATAGTTTTGAGGCAGTTTATTGTCGAAGTTACCAACAAGATGTTAAGCTAGGTTCAAGTATAGGCATCATGGGGTCAAATGAAACTCGAAATACAACTGGAACTCTTAGTGCTATTGCTTATGAAAATAACTCTCCAAATCAGATTGGTATTATTTCATGTGAACATGTACTCAAATTTAATGAATCAAATCCTGAAAAAAATATTACTATATACCAGCCTTCGTATAATGATCAATTTGAACCAAGAAGAAGACTAAGAGAATTACTTGAATTATCAAAAGAGTTAGGAGAAAATGAGTATATAAAAGATATTAGTATAATGCGAGTAAAATTAAATATTGCAGAAAGTCAAAATTCGAAACTTGCTACTTATGTAAAGGGAATGCGAAAAAATTTTCTTTCTAAAATAGATAACAAATACTATGGCGTTGATGCTGGATTTTGTGTCTTTGATAATAAAAGTCGTAAATTATGTTCAAAAAACTTTCCAATTCCTTCAAGTTACTTTAAAAAAGCTGGACTTTCTACTTGTTTAGAAAGTACTTATACTTATTGTGAATTGAAGAATTTTAATCATAAGAAAAATAGAGTTTTTAAAGTAGGAAGAACTACAGGACTTACTCTTGGAGAATTACTTCCTACTGAGCAAGCTATTGCTTGTACAATTGAAAGTATAAAAAATGCAAAAAGGTTAGAAATGGAAAAACATATCCCTTGTTACAACAATGAAGATCAAAAGATTTTTATTGGATATATGAAATCACAATTAGATTCAGAAATTCGTCAAAAACGTAAAAAATGTTATCCTATTGAATGGTTTGATCGTCAATTAGCATTTAAATTTGAATCCGGAGATTTTGACTGTGGCGATTCAGGAGCAAGCATTATAGATGAAACAGGAAAGGCTCTTGGTATTCTTCATGCAAAATGGATAACACCATGTCAGACATTTGGTATCGCTTCACCTTATTTCGCTATTCTTGAAGCACTTGACGTGAGCATTCAATTATCTTCCGATCCTGTTACACCAACAGTTATTTCATCATCATCAAGTAAGTTTAATTATATTAAATTTATATTTATTTAATTAAATATTGTTTTGATTAAATGTTTCTTTTTAGACATTCAAAATAATTATAAAAAAGTGCAGGATGTTAAACAAACCACCAACTCACAAAAAAACCAGTCAAAAATATATCTCGATCAATATTGCTCTTATTATTACAATATTACTCCATCAAATTTATCAAATTCAACAAATTATATTTCTAAAATAAGCAGATTGACTTTTTCATTGACATTTCCTAAACTAATTAGTACATTTATTAATTAGTACATTAATTACTTTTCATTTATTTTTTAACGTAATAAGTTGGTTTTTGAAAATGTGGAATAAAAACAAGCATCAATTTTATCGCTATATACTAAAATCCTTAAAGTATAAATAAATATATGTGCATTTCATCTAAAGTATTTGAAACCATTCGCGATTTTGAAAACAGTAATTCTACAGCTCACCGTTCATTTCGTATAATATTTTGAAATGAAAAGACAAAATATTGTTCGCTGCTTCCGAATATTTTTATGCATATTCCAAATTACTAATTCTAATTTTGCTGTTCAAAAATTATCAAATCTTTAATACACGATTGTACATAGGCGTTCGATAAACCGGACTTATCCGTTCCGTAGTGTTGCCTAGTCGAATTAATCGAAATCGATTCTGAATCGATTAATCGAGAATCGCATGAAAAATCGATCCTAGTCAATCGTTTCCATTGATGTTTGGCCTAAAATAATATAAAAAATTTTAGTGTTTAACGATTAAATAAAATTTTAATTCCGGCCGGCATTAAAGCTCGGCCGGAATTAACTTCGTGTAACCTAGAAAAAAGTTTCGACTTTTTTCTGGTTACAAGGTGGTACCTGAATACACGCGTTCATAAGTAAATACTATGTAGTCAAAATTTGTGTAATGTTACTGCATAAAGGTCTTTGCTTAAGCGAAACTATTTCTAATGGTTAAAAGTGGTCAATCCATGATGCATCCAAATTGGAACACCCCAAATGTCATGATTTTTATGGCACATAATATCGATTAGAATCGATTAATCGAAACGAAATCAAACTTTTAAATCGAATCTTGAGATCGCGATTAGTCAATTCTAGAATCGATTCTCAAAATTAGAATCGATAGTGTTGCCCAGGCTGAAAGAATTGCTGATCGAAAGTATTAATCACGTAAACTGATTCGACTAAGTGACGAGTTAGAGTGTTAGGCTCGAGCAACTTGATATTGGAGATATATACACAGGCAATATCGATCAATCAGATCTTCGATAAACCGGAACCTTCGATAAACGGCATTGGGTCCATATTGGCAACTTCTTTAAAAAATTTCGTTCCTTGTTTAATATCTTTTTGATAACCTTCCGTTAAATAATGGGCTTTCCAATATTTAGCATAATGATAATCTAATTTTGCGTGCGTTTGAAAACATTCCCATGCGGTTTACGTTCTCCTGATTAATGTAATTTTATCCCTTCTTCTATCAACAATATTGATTGAATCATTGGTAAAAAAGTAATCTTATAATCCGTGATAGGCTCATTATCTCCATCTTTGATAATAATGTTGTTTTACTATTCGGTTTTTTTGTCCAAATCAGTTCATACTGTTGTAATAACCTTTCTGGTTGGCGGTGTAAATTCTTTAAAAGATATTGTTGCGTTAAATTGTACAGTATAGTCGATTAAACAGTTCATGAGAAGTATTGGATCATTTTGCCACACTTTTAAATTTAAAATGTATTTCACCGTCATTATTGAGCAACCTTTTTTTTTACTGTAGAGGTACTGATATTCTCATGGACAAATGGGTTGTGTAACTTCGGTGATATCTTATGATCTAATGGTCGTAGGAAAATAAAATTTAGTTCATTGGATTCGTCTCATGAGATGAATCCAATGGTATAAAATTTAATAATTTTTGAATAAATATTGATTGAGATATCATCAAAAGGTGCTTATTTTTTTTGGTGCTTAATTTTGGGGGTGCTTAGTAACAGTCAAATAGGGTAAAAATTATAATTAATACTGCAGAAATTGACAAGTTAAGAAAGAAAGGCTTTATTTGTGTTAATAATAATTTTAACTCACCAGCTCGAATTATCTTTGTAAAATCCTTTTAAACAGAACAATAATATCTCCTACAAAACATAAAAAAAATAAATATATGTAAGATTAACATGATTACGTTGGTCGAACACCTTTTTAAACTTTTAAGAAAATTTCACTTTTGTCCCTTGCCTTAATTTTTCAGGCGCTAATCAATGAATCACCGTTGTTATATTTTCAACAAAGTATCTACCATATTTTGCAAGCCCAGAAATTAAAGTTTGCTACCTTTGGTTCAAGTCTTTCATTGATCTAAAAAAAAAAAATAATTTAAAAAATATTCGTAAAACAAAAAAAAATCCACTTTGATTCTCGCTTACCATAATATTTGTTATCTCTCAATGAAGAATTTAACAACCATATAAAAATGATAACCTACAACAAATTCCTAAAGCAATATTTAATTTTACAGAATTTTTCATATAGATTGTAAATCAGCTCAATCAAAAAATTAATACTTGATATTCATCCAAGTTTGATAATCCTAAAAATTTTATAATATTATCCGAATTACAGTATTTAATAATTGTAACATCGCTAATTCATTATCGAACCTTGGTTCGCTACAAATTTTGATTCATAAGACATTTTATGAATATTTCCCCATTATTATTATTATTTAATGTATAATTATTATCGTAATCCCGCCATTAACATTTTCTTATACCTTAGGCAATGTGACAGTTCTCATCATCCCTTACGTCTTGATCTTTTTTATAATAAGTAAACTTATAAACGTAATCAATTACAACATTATAATAATATTCTTTAATAATATTTCTAAAATGTCCTTTTAATTTTTCAACACTATTAAATTTTCTTAAATCATGAAGTTATGAAATATCAGTAATAAATTAGCGATCCTTTTTCAATAAATCAATAAATTTATGATAACTATAATAAATATTTTGTTGTAAAATAACCTATTTATATCTTTTTAAAGATTTAATAGACATTTCAGTACTTTCTACTCTATCAATTAAACAATCACAAATTTTTATTGTTAAATTGAGTAGTTTTTATATAATTCTAAAATATTTTTAATTGAATCAAGAATATCCGATATCAAAATATCAAATGTTTTGATAATTCACCGATAACAGTAATATTTCCAATTAATTGATTTGAAATTTTTATTGATTTAATAATAATTCTTCATTAAATACATTAGTCATTAGATTCTTCAACCCTATAAAAAATTTTTATCCGAATATTTCCATTATTTCTCCGTGTCTTCCGTAAAAATTCCGTGAAAATGATACATTCACGGATATCCGTGTTAGCGAGATGAAAATTTCCATGATTTAAGGCTATAAATTCCATGAAAATGATACATTCACGGAAAAAACATGGAAAGATAAAACACGGATCAGATTTTTTACAGGGCAATTTCATATAAACCCATGAATTATAATTTCTCCGTATATGTTTATCTGTCTTGATGGAAAAAGTCGTCTTATTTCTGCAAAAGGTTTCCTCTTAGGTGAAGCAAATCTTAAAGTCATGTCTCCTTTCCTCGAGCGTCATTCCATTTTTGATATAATACTGTAACCTAAAAATAAGATATAAATTTACTGTATAAATAGTCTATAAAAGTAATACAATATAATGATAATAAAGTGAACGGAAAGCAAAAGGAGATATTAAATCGATTTAAAAATTTTTTTAAATGAAACTTACGTAGAATTTATTATACATATATCGATAGAAAAAGCATAAGTATTACGACGTTAACCATCAAATAAAATGATAAAATAATGAAAATCGTTGTTTATAAGGAATAGTCACATGTAAGCCATGTGATCTCTTTAACTCTGCGGTTAATCTGTTAATATGAATATATATTAAACTGAATAATATCAAAAAAAACTGTATATAAGAAAATTTTGTTCTTTCTGTTAATATAGTATGAATAAATTTAATGTCAATGATTACATGTTAATACTGTAAAGTATTTTTTTTTATTTGATGAGCACTAAAAGCTGGTTAGCTTATATCTTCCAATTATTGTGGACAACTTTCAAGAGTAACGTCAAGAAAAATACTTAAAAATCCTTAGGCAAGGCGAGAATGTTGCACATCTTTCAATAGGAATTGTTTAATTAAGTTATATTAAGTTATTAAAGAAGAATTTCTTACATAATAAATTAAATCAACCATTTAAATTTTTTGTTATATACTGTAAATCATAATAATAATAAAATAAAAAAATGAAATTATCGAATTTTGATTCTTAATAATTTGGACAATGGAATGTGCTATAATAATTGAAAATAGACTATCATAAATCTTGTGAATTTTAAATTATGTTATTTATTTTACCAAATATTTGAATTTACCTTTCTTATATTTCGATTAAATTTTATCATCGGTAACTAATTGCCATATATTCATATGAACCATTGATTAAAATTTAAAGAAATAACTTAGGTCCATTGAATTCCATATACTTCAAATATTACTACTAAAGTATTATTGAAAGTATGGATTTGGACAACCAAATACTCAATTGAAAAACCAGCCTAACTATGTTATTTATCACAATCATTTTATAGTCCTTAAATATATATTTTTTTACCTCCTCTTCTTTTTTCTTGACGTAATTCGATGAATTTAATTCTTAAAAACTTAAATTATTTTACCACAAAGTTTTGTCATTAACAATAATATATATTGTGTATACTTTCTGATTCATCATTTAAAGTCCAAAAATAATTTGAATAATAAATTGGAAATACAGACATCAGATGGAAATTGTAAGAGTTGAAGTTGAATATCAAGTTATCATCGATGTAAAAATTCGCTATAACTATGAGCAACAATTCATGCAGACTTTTCGAGTTTATCTGTTATACATAAAATATACTAGGAAACGGAGTACTGTACCTTTTTTTGTTGTACAATATCACGTGAGAAGCAAAAATATCATTCTTGATATGTTCATAGTATGATTCTTAATAGACGTATTTATTTTTATTATTGATATATTGATATATCAAGAATAACACTTTTGCCGGACGGACATAAACGTTCATACTTGCGTAGAAATGTTTAGTCTTTCGTTACATTATTTCGGACTAAAAATAAATTAGTTCCTTCGTTACACTTCGGACTAACTAATTGTCCGGAGCGTTAGCGAAGGACTATTTACTGTGTA